ATAGCCTTGGAGCATTACAGAATACAAATACACACAGTCTTGGGATTGTCTCCTCAGATGGCTAGGAAGCAAGCCAAATTCTCTCTGAAATTCTAGAGGGATTTGATGTTCCCATGATTTTCTAAACACAGACTGGCGTGAGTGAGAGGTGGGGACAGGTGGGGGACAGGTAGGGTGACGAGGATGCATGCACACTAAAGCATACACTCATCCCTGGGGAACCTTGCAAGAGCCCTGTAGTCTCCCTTTATTCATCGGACAGTGCGTGTACAGTAGTCAAATTTTCGACCATGGGAAATTCTCTGACTTTATTTTTTATCGAGTAAGCAAGGGGTCTGTGACAAGGAAAAGGCATAGTTAACATTTGCACCCCTGATTAATTGTAGAGCTGGTACTGCAGCTCATGCAGCCTACTGACCTACGTGAGGTCTACTCAACAGCTTGCAAGGGTCAAAGTAAGCTTTTGTGTGTTTGGTTGGTTGTAATGACAGCATGGACTTGGACCAGAGGCATTGAGCTTGAGCCTCTGCTCACCCGTCTGCCACTCTGACCTCAGTGAGTCACTTACTCTGTACCTTAGTTTCCTTGCCTGGGTCCACTTTGATAACAAAATACCACATTGGGTGGCTTAAACAACAGATCTTTATTTCTCATATTTCAGGAGGCCGGGAGGTCCAAGATCAAGGCATCCTCAGATCCAGTGTCTGGTGTGGGCCTTTTACCTGGGTTTTCATTATATCCTCACATGGCAGAGAGAGAGAGAGACCTCTGGTCTCTTCATCCCCTTATAAGGGCACAAATCCCATTCATGAGGGCTCCATACTCATGACCTAATTATTTCCTAGTATCATCATATTGGGGGTTAGGATTTCAACATATGGATTTGGAGGGACACAGACATTCAGTCCATTCTGCCCCTGGCCCCACAAAGTCCATGTCCTTTTCAAGTGCAAAATACATTCATTCCATCCCAAGAGCCCCATAAGTGTTAACTCATCCCAGCAGCTACTTTAAAGCTCAAAATCTTATCTACATACCAGCTGAATCAGGTATGGGTCAGATTCCATGTACATTCATCCAGAGGCAAAATCCTCTCCAGCTGTGAACCTGTGAAACCACAAAAGTTATATGCTTCCAAAATACAACGGTGGGACACACATAGGGTAGATATTCCCATTCCAAAAGGAAGAAATAGGAAAGAAGGAAGGATTGGGCTACCATGTAAGTCCAAAACTTAGCAAGGAAAATCCCACTGGATCTTAAGGCACAGAAATAATCCTCTTTGGTTCAATGCTCTACCCTCAAAACCTCTGGGGATTACAATGTCTCCCTGACTACTCAGTGGGGCTATGCCCACACTGCAGCTCTCTACAGAGGCTTTATCCATTTTGCAGTTCTGCAGGGCAGAGTAGAACCCCCAGGGCTCTGCCAGGCAGGGGTCTCCCCAACTCAGCTCTGGGAGGTCCTACCCTCAAGGCTTTAGGTGGAGGTTGTCTGGCCTGTTGAAACCAAGGCAGTGATCCTGATGATCGAATATCCTTCAGAGCCATTCTTCCCTTTTCTTGAAGAACAGCACAAGTTCGGGTTCAAATAGCTCAATCATCCTGTCTTGTAGAATCGAAGAACTCGGACAACCCTCTTCAACTCTATCGCATCTCAGTGCAAACTGGCAGTGTTCCTGGCACCTTAGCTGATTCAGTCCATGGCTCACACCCATGCCAATCTCCTTATCACATGGCTGCTGGTCCACACCCTTAACGTTCTCATCCGCAACACACTTTCTCCTGTTTTTGCAATGGATAGGCTGAGAATTTCCCAAGTTTTTAAGTTCTGGTTCCTCTTTACTTAACAATTTCTTCTTATTCATTTCTCTCTTTTTGCATTTTACCATAAGCAGTCAGGAGAAACCACAGTTGTTAACTTCTATACTTCACTTAGAAATCTTAGCTAAATGTCCAATTTCATCACTTATGTGTTCTACCTTCCACAAAACACTAGAACATGAACACAATTTAGTATTTTGTTAATTAGGCAATATTTGAAATATTTGAGAAATATTTGAAAAAAATTTATTGTAGGCGGGATATAGTTGTGTATGGCCTTTATACCCATCCTTACCATCCCTGCTGTTAATTAGGATTTTAGATCACTTACCCTTAATATAATTATTGATATATTGATATAAGTTTAAATCTACAATCTTGCCACTTGGTTTTGTATTGTCCTGTTTGTTTCCTTTCTACTTTTTTTTTTGCCTCCTTTGGATTAATTGAATTTTTTTATAACTCCATTTTATTTATTTGGCTGGCTCATTAGCTTTATTTTACTCTTTATTTTATAATTTCAGTGATTTCTTTAGGATTAAAAGCATATATATTTAATTTATCACTTTCTACTTTCTAGTGATATTATACACTGTACATATAAGGACCTTATAATAGTATGCCTCTGTTTTTTCCCTTCTCAATATTTGTGCAATTGTTATAATACATTTTATTTTTATATGTTATAAACCCCACACTACATCATTATCTTTTGATTACTAATGATCTTTATGAGATTTAAATAGTAATAAAAACCATATATTTGCCTTTACAGTTACCATTTCTGGTACTTTACATTCCTTTGTGTACATTTATATCTCTATTTGGTATCATTTCCCTTCTGACTGAAGGACTTTCTTTAACATTTCTTATAGTGTGGGTCTACTGATAATTAATTCTTTAAGCTTTTTATATTTTTAAAAAGTATTTCTCTTTAGTTTTAAAATATTTATTTGTTGAGTGTAGAATTCTAGGTTGACTTTTTTTTTCTTTCAGTGCTTTAAAAATGTTGTTCCACTGTCTTCTTACTTGGTGTCTTAGTCAGCTCAGACTCCTATAACAAAAATACCATAGATTGGGTGGCTCAAAAGTAACAGAGATTTATTTTTCACAGTTCTGGGGCTGGATATCTGAGATCATGGTGCCATCATGGTGGGGTTATGGTGAGGGACCTCGTCTGCCTTGCAGATTTCTCATTTCTCATTGTGTCCTCACATGGTGAAAGGGAGCAAGGGAGCTCTATGGGGTCTCTTTTATAAGGGTGCTAATCCCATGACCTAATCACCTCCCAAAGGCCCCACCTCCTAATACCATCACCTTGGGGATTAGGTTTCAGTGTACAAATTTTGGGGAAATACTCACTAGCACTTGGATTGTTTTTGACAAGAAGTCTGCTGACATCCTTATTTTTGTTCCTCGACATATAACATAGCAGTCATTCCCCATTCTTTCCCAAACCTCCCCTACCCCTGGCAACCACTAATCTACTTTCTGTCTCCCTGGATTTGCCTATTCTGGAAATTTCATAAAAAGGGAATGATAAGTATGTGATATTTTGTGACTGGATTCTTTCACTTAGTATAATATTTTCAAGATTTATCCAAGTTAACATGTATTAGTACTTCATTTCTTTTTATTGTTGAATAATACTCTTTGGTATTATTCAACACATTTTGTTTATCCATTCACCAATTGATGGATATTTGGGTCATTCATATTGAAAAATTTTTATTGGGTGTACAACATTATGAATTTTACTTTATTGAGTACCGAATATTTTTACTCCTATAAATATTCTGACTTTTGGTCTGGGATGCAGTTAAGTTACTTCATGACAATTTCATCTATATGAATTTTGCTTTTTTTTTTTATTCTTATGTTAATCCCCATACATTACATCATTAGTTTTAGATGAAGTGTTCCATGATTCATTGTTTGTGCATAACACCCAGTGCTCCATGCAGAATGTGCCCTCCTCAATACCCACCACCAGGCTAACCCATCCTCCCACCCCCCTCCCCTCCAGAACCCTGTTTGTTTTTCAGAGTCCATCGTCTCTCATGGTTCATCTACCCCTCCAATTTCCCCCGCTTCATTCTTCCCCTCCCACTACCTTCTTCTTCTTCTTTTTTTTTTTTCTTAACATATATTGCATTATTTGTTTCAGAGGTACAGATCTGAGATTCAACAGTCTTGCACAATTCACAGCGCTTACCAGAGCTCATACCCTCCCCAGTGTCTATCACCCAGTCACCCCATCCCTCCCACCCCACCCCCCACTCCAGCAACCCTCAGTTTGAATTTTGCTTTTAATATTTGTTAGGCAATACCAGCGTGGTGTTCAATCTAGGCCTAATTATTCCCCACCACCAAGGTAAGACCCTGATGCACTGTATCCAATGCCCAGTGAATCTTGAGGTCTTCCAATCCACCTGGTAGAACAGGCACTATTCGCAGCCCTGTGTAAATGCTGGGCACTGTGACCTCCAATCCATTCAGGTAGTTCTTTCCCTAGCTTCTGGCAGTTTCCTCCCATGCCTGCACAAATCTGCTCCACTGAATACCTACTTAGGACCCTCTTCCAATCCCCAAAGGTCTTTCTGCGTGTAGCTCTGTCCTGTGAGCTCCAACTTCTTCCCAGTCTCTCAGGTGTAAATCCTCAACTCAGGGAAGCCACTGAGCTCCTCCTAGGCTCCCTGTCTGTGCCATGGCTTGGAGACTCTCACAAAAATATAAAGCCTGCAATTGTAAGCTCACTTCCTTTGTTTCCCATATTTCAGAGAGCTCTGTCTTTCATCACTTGATGTGCAAAGCCTTTGAGATTGTGGTTTCATATACTCTACATGTTCTTAGGTTGTTTTGGGTAGGAGGGTAAATCTGTTTTTGTTACTCTATCTCAGCAGAAAACAGCTGTGCTAAGACCCATAATTTCAATGGCTTGAAATTTGAAATAATTTCCTTGGTAGCTGTGAAAGCTGCTGCATAGAGAAATATAAGCTATCTACATGTATATATGAGATGTCAATATTGATACCATATATTCCAGCCTTTTAGAAAAGGATTAGCAGTAGCTTTTGTTTCTTATGATAGATAACATGTTAATAACCATGCCTTTAGGAAATCCATGTGTACCATTTGCCTCCTTGAATGTGGGAACATTTATGTCTCCTCTCACAGGTGATCAGCGAGTTTGAAGCCTCTCCTGACTCATTTTCCTACAGAATTCCCAACCTGAGTCGGAACCGTCAATACAGCGTGTGGGTGGTAGCCGTAACTTCAGCTGGGAGAGGCAACAGCAGTGAGATCATCATGGTGGAGCCATTAGCTAAAGGTGCGCCCCTGTAGTAAAGACCTAATTTCCCACTCTCATTGGACTGTTTTTAAATCCTCACTCTACCAGAAATAAAGCTTCCAGTGCCCTAAAAATCACCAGAAATTCAGAACATCACGTGCTTTCACATTTCAGCTTAAGAAATAAGGTTGCTGCTAGCTGGCACTGGGCTTTTGTGCAAATCAGAAAAGAATCCCCCTAGAAGTGAACACATTGCTAAGGGTGAGTAGTTCTACAACTCAAAGTGCCTTAAGGAAAGTAAGGAAAAAGAGCCCGCCCTCACCCCTTGGGTAGGTGAAAATCACTACATAGCAACTTACCAGGGAAGTCCTACTTTCATCAGAAGCAAGCATCAAACTTCTTAAAGAGAAAATATGGAATTTGGAAGTTTATAAATATAAGAAAATATTTAGCTCTTCTTCTATTGACAGAATACTATAAACAAAGACCTTAATTAACAGTGGGAAGTCAGAGTCACCAAAGAATAAAAGTTCCTAAAAATGAATATAGAATCTACACATTGAGATGTTATACCGGTCCTAAAAAGCACATACAGGCACAGAATATTCTTATTCTACTTCTGATAATTGCTACCACCCAGTGTTTAGGGTACCACTAAATTAGCAGTTTTCATGAGTAAATGTACTAACATCACAAATCCAGGCCAGCAGGAAATGCCCCCTGATTTTGGAATACACCACATTGGCAATTTATTACTAACAAGGCTGCTAGGTGCCTAAAAGAGAATGTAAGAGAACATTCCAAGATTCCAATTTTACCTTGAAGAGCTCTTGATCACTAAGAGCTAAGATAAAGAATGAAATAGTGAGGGGAAAAAGAGAATGCTGTCCCATTTTGAACACAACTGCAGATAGAAAGTAAATACATTGTTGGTAAGGAAAATAAAATCATGGATTTTTTTTTTTTTGTCTATTGGACTCTTCAATTATGATATCCAGCCACCCCCAACACACACTCTCACATTAGAAAACAGTGATTATCAATGGGCATAAGGACTGTACCACGGGGTAAAGGAAACCAGCAACATGAGATGCAGGATTAGTAATTGCTTTGCCTCCTCTCTACTTCTGTGTATTCAGTGTCAGGCAGGCAGCTGGGAAAGTCCTTTTTCCCAAGAGACATCTGGCAGAAGTCAGATTTGGAGAGGGTTCAGTACCCAGACACCCCCGTACCTGGGATGGGAAGAACCTACTTGGAAGACAGAGTCAGGTCCAGGAGTAGCTCTAGGCCCAGGAGTAGCTCTGCAGAACGTCAGCTTGCTCTGCAGAGGTAGAGGCACAGGGGTTGCCAGAGAGGAAAGGGTCAGGCCAGAGAGACAGGAGAAAAACCAGGAGGGCAAGGCCAAGAATTCAACAGAGATGTTTTGGAAAAGAGGGAGTGGTCTGCCATGGCAGCAGATGCTGGGAGGTCAAGGGAAACAAGACTAGAAGTGCCCTGGGGTTGGCCACTCGGGACCTCGTGGACCTTCTTGCGAGCAACTTCATGGGGATGGGAGCGGATGAGGGGACCGAGTGGCTGGGAGGTGAGGAAGCAGATCTACTTGGCAGAAAGTTCTCTAAACACACATCACCTGGAAGAAGCCACAGGAAAGACAAGCTGGAGCGTGGGTGGGTCTCATGCGAGGAAAGGCTCTGGTTTTGCCGTGGGTTAATATGTCAGCCAGCAGAGACTGTTTGCATGACAATGGAAGACCCAAGCGGAGAGGGGGAGGTGATAATCTGGGAGGAAGAGCAGGGCCACAGGACTGCGGTTTGGAGGAAGAAACACAAGTGGGTTTTTAGGTTTGGTGACAGGAAATGCAGAGTTCCCAGCCTGTGTCTTCTATTTCCTCTACCAAGTATTAGGCAATTTGGGGGCTGGCGGAGAAAAGATCAGGAGTTTGAGAAGAGGAAGGACAGTTGGAAATCATCACTGCAGAGAAGTGGGAAGGAACTTCCTAACAAAACAGTAAGACTGGCAGGGAAAGCGGACAGTCCCGTCGAGGTCGGTGATTGTAAATCTATGGTGGGTCCTAAATTCTCCATTGTATGGATTTCTCCAGAAATGTTCAGCTTCTCGTGCTCAAGTGGTGTTCACCCAGAGTTAGGTTGATCCAGATGGGTTTTCTGGAAAGGGACTGAGCTAGGGAAGGGCTCAGGCTTGGAGCAGATGTTCCAGCTGAAAGGCTCTACCCAGAAGCCCCAGACACTGGCAAACAATGAAGGCTGAAAGGTGCAATCTGGAGAGATGAGGCCGCTGGCAGCCCAAGGAGACAGGTGCAAGTTATCCTGCAGTTGCTGGGAGATAGGCAGTAATGGCAAATCTGTCAGCAAGTAGCAGAGTCCAAAATCCAGAGTTAGGGTCACAGAGAAGACTGCTGTTTAGTGAATGAAGTGGCAGAATGGAGTCATGAACCCAGTCCTGGAGGAACACCAACCCAGAGGAGCCCAGGGCCAGGGTTGACCAAGAGAGCACCACCACAGGGCTGAGGGCAGCACAGGATCCAGAAGGGATGTCCAGGTTGCAGACGGACAGCGGTTTCTCAGAATCATTTGAGGTGCTTGTTAAAAGACAGACTCCCTGTGCAGCCACTCTGGAAAACTGTATGGAGGTTCCTCAAAAAGTTGAAAATAGAGCTACCATATGATCCAGCAATTGCACTACTGGGTATTTACCC